AAGTTCGTCAAGGAGAAAGATTTAGAGCTTTGGAACCAGAGGTAGAAAAATTAAGAAAAGAATTGGAGACACTTCGGAATGCATGCTTCCTTCACAACCTCAATAGGGATTTAGAGTTGGAGAACTTGAACTTGAGGAACAGAGTATCTCATCTGGAGGTTCTTCTTTGCCTGTTGGGAAATTCTGCACCTGCTCCCTTTGACAGTTCTTTTTCTTCTTTCTTGTTTAACTAGAAATTTGTTTCTTATTTTGTTTTTCTTGCATCTTCTTTTTCAAAGTTCGTGGATTCATTGTGGGAGATGCAATAGTCACTGAGTATGCTTTGTGGGCCAGCTGTAATAAACAGGGAGCACTCTGTAGGTCACTTCCATTATACTGCATCTTTTACTTGTTTCTCTAGTTTCTTCAGGTCTTCTTTTTTGTTCAAGTGTTCAATAATACTTGTATTGAATTTGATACAAGTGGAGGACTGGGTTACTTAAGCATCTGTATTCACATCATGTAACTTGGGTACTGAACTTTTCAGTAGCTAAAGGATGCTTCTTCCTGTATATGCATGCTAAGTTTTCATGCTGATCAGACAAAATATGGTTTCAAGAGAAAGGGATTAATAGAAGTGGCAAGAACTTTTTCTTTCATTATTCTAAGCTTGAAGACATTATTGGACAAGACATTATAGATGTAGAAAAGTCCTTTCCATTTCAGTTTTAGTTTTCCTGTGAAACGTTTGTCTCTGGTAACATTATACATTAATACCTTATTCCCGATTTTGAACTTTTTGTACTTTGTTACTTTTTGATCAAACCTTCGTTTTTGTTTCTGTTGTTTCTTTAAATATTTCTTCTTGCTTGTTCCTGTTGTTGTGGAAGTTCTTCTAATAAAGTATACAATCAATTAAGAATTATTGATTGCAATATTTCATCTATGTTTATTGTGGACATTTGAGATTTTCGTCCATAAAATAAATAAAATAGTGCCATTTTCATAGAAGATTGTTTTGATATTTTATAAGCAAAAAGTGCTGGCGAAATGTGTTAGTCCCAATCTTCTTTGCCTTCAGTTAACTTTGCAAGTGACTCACACAAAGTTTTGTTAAATCATTCAACCAATCTATTGATTTAAGGATGATATGGTGTGGATAATAAATGTTTATCTCAAATTGTTTGAGTAATCCATCTACTATTTCATTTCGAAAATGAGTTTCTCTATTAGATATTATTTGTTTTGGGCATCCATATCTACAGATAATAACTTGATAGATAAATTCTGTTACACGTTTTCCAGTAGCTTCAAAGATTGCTTCTGCTTCAGGCCATTTGGTGAAGTAATCTGTTGCAATGACAATATACTTGTTTTCTTGTTTAGTCAGTAATAAGAGTCCTACAATGTCTATACTAATTCTGGAAAATGGTTCTCCAACAGGAATAGGGTGCAAGGGTTCTGATGTTTTGTATCTTCCACATTTTTGGCATTGGTCCTATTATCAGATGTAGTCTTTAATATTTTCGAACATCTGCGGCCAGTAGTATTGATTATGAATTTTCTCAAAGGTTTTGTCAATTCCCAAAGTATTGCTTCAATTTCATATTTTTGAATAACTTTGAGTAGTTGGTTTCAGTTTTTTCTTCTTCTGTCTTTCTTGTAAAGTTAATTGTTTTTGATTTCAAAAATTTGCTTTGTGATTATAAATATTTTTGTTATTTATTATTTATATTTGTTGGTAGTTTATTGTTAAGAATATAGTTTTTCAATTGATAATATTGTTGTGTTTTCATATTGTTGAAGTTCAGTTGCCAAGATACTGACTATCTGGTCTGGATTCTGTTTTACGTCAGATTTCTTTAATTGTTTCTTCAAAAAGGTTTTAATAATAGGTGACAGAATTGGTATTTGTTCACCAGACTGAATTGCAAAGATAGTTTTTGGAATAGTTATTGAATTCTTCTCTATATTGTTTGTAAGGTTGTTTAAGTTTTGATGACCACCAGTAATCATCAGACAATTGAATTTGTTCTTCAAATTCTTCATCACTTAATCTTGTTCTTGAAATTTGATGAAAGTCATAATCACAAGGTTGGTGTTGAAATTTTCTTTTTGGAAGAGGACATGCACAAATTTCATCTAGAATTATTTGAGTGAATTAAATTATTATTGATTGGACATTATCTGCTCTTTGTTTTCTTTTATAGATACATTCATCTTTGAAAGGATATCTGTTTTGATCAGATAATTTCTTACACTAGTTACAGAAAGTATGAGTATGATGGTCTTCAGCTCTCTCTTTACAGATAGGACAGTATCTTCCTGCAATAAACCATTCAACTTTATAAAGTAATTCTTCATAATCGGAAGTATAAGGTGCAACAGAATTTGCAGTTGCAAAGCTATGATCAGAGTTTCAATCATTATCATTTTCTTGAAGCATATAGATAGGTTCTTTGTTTCATACATGTGTAATATTGTATCAGCATTATTGTGCTTTCTTTCTGCTCTATGAATAATTGTGTAGTTTTAGGATTTTAGATGTAGGATCCATCTAGCTCTTCTTCTTTTAAGTTCAGATATCTTTAACTATTAAAAGGCAGAGTAGTCAGTTACCAGATAGAAGTAATTAGTTTCAAGATATTGATAAAAGTGTTCAACAGCCCAGATGATTGTTAGATATTCTTGTTCAGTAGTAGAATAGTTTCATTTAGGTTTGGTCAAACTTCTGCTAGCATATGCAATGACATGTTCTTGTTTTCCTTTTCGTTAAGCAAGTACTGCTCCCAATTCAATACCAGAAGTATCAATATAGAGATAGAATGGTTGATTAAAATCAGGATATTTCAAGATTGGTGCAGAAATTAAATATCATTTTAGCATTTGAAATGCTTTTTCTTGTTTTTCAGTCCATTCGAAAAGTACTTGTTTTTCAAGGAGTTCATTTAATGGTTTAGTGATAGTTGAAAAGTTGGCAATAAATTTTTAATAGTAGAATGCTAACCCTAAGAATCCTTTGAGTTGTTTGACATTCATTAGTCTTGGAAAGTCTCTAACTTTGATAATTTTGTCATCATCTGGTATAATTTCATCATGGTTGATTTCATGTCCCAAAAGTTTAACACTGGTGAGAAAGAAGTGGCACTTTTCTATATTTAGTTTCAAGTTTGCTTGGCAAAGAACATCTAAAATGATATTCACATTATAGCAGTGATCTTGAAATGTTTTGGAGAAGATATTAATGTCATCCAAGTATACTTTAACAAAATTTCCTTTGTAAGGTTCAAGAAGTTCATCCATGAGACGTTGGAAGGTAGCAGGAGCATTGCACAATCCAAAAGGCATGACATTGAACTCATAGAGTCTATATTTTGTAATAAAAACAGTTTTCTATTTATCTTCATCACTTATAACTACTTGCCAGTATCCATTTGCTAAATCAAGACAGAAAAACCATTTGGCACCTTGGAAGGAATCTAGAAGATCATCAATTACTAGAAGAAAGTAGACATCCTTTTTTATAATCTCATTCAATTTTCAGAAATCAACACAAAATCATTCCTTGCTATTTTCTTTGGTACAATTACAACTGGAAATGTTCAAGGGCTGGAGGTAGAACTGATGATTCCTTTTTTCAACATTTCACTAATTTAGCTTCTAATAAAATCTTGTTGATCTGATGATGTTCTATATGCATATTGCTTGATGAGTTTTGCATTTTCTGTATCAATAAAATGTGTGATTACAGTGGTTCTTTCTAAATCTTGAGTTTGGCCTTTTTTGAAGATATGTTCTACAAATATATTTTCTTTTTCTTTTATAATTTGGTTAACTATGTCTTGTTGTTCATCAATTATTAGATTAATTTCTGGTGTTGCTTCTTGATTAATTACGTGATCAGAGAGGTAGATCGCTGAATTTTTTTTGATTTGGACTTCAAGTTCTTTAGTTTCTTTATGTTTCTCATCTCTTTTAGCATGGTCGGAGTAGTAAGTCTCTTGTTCTTCCAAATCTTCATCATTGTATTCAATTTTTTCAAGTTTATCGACACTGTTTTCTAAATCCATAATGTATTGAGATGTTTCATTAGTGAAGTGGATAGTTGCAATCTTGACAGTTTTGTTTTGATGTTGAATCTGTAAGGTTTGGGAATTAAAATTCTACTTGGCCCTCATCTTTTGGAACCAATCAATTTCCAAAAGAAGAGTTTCCTCTTGAGATTCAATAATTTGAAGCTTGATTGAAATAATCAGATCTTAAATACAAATTTGAACTTTAGTAATCTGACCCAGTGCACAGACTCTGTTTTCATTGGCAGTGACTATAATAGTTTTGAATGGAGTATCTGGTTCCAGTTCTAACTTATGCATCAGTTTGTTTGTAATGATACTGACAGCAGCTCCTGAATCAAGGATAGTGATCACAGAATTTCCCTTAATTCTAACATAGCATTTAGCCAATGAAGTCTTTCTAGAGTCATTTTCTAATTGCAGATAGTTGGTTTCAATTGTCTTCTTTGGTCTCTTGAGGATCTTGACAAGATTCTTTCATTGGTTAGGGTATTGAAGCATTTGTTTCACAGTAGCACTTGATGGTAACTTGAGAATATCTTCAGAAATATCATATAGTATAAGCTGATCAATCATAAACAGTTGGGATTTCATTTTTGACTTCTTTGTCTTGGATGAGATAGGTTGCATTGAAGGAGGTTAATAATGGACAAATAGATTTTCTACTTTTATTGGTTGAGTAGTATTCTTCTTTGATCACAAGTTAAATTCTTTGGCCAATTCTGATCGGTTAACTTTTTTTTTCTATTCTTTTCGATTGATAATGTAGAATTAGAGTTTAGCTTTTTGTCCCACATATACAAGTTCTTCTTATTCACTAGATGCTTCTTTATCAAAGGTATGTTTAATTATAAGATAATTTACACGTTTGTCTTTTTTGACATATTGATTTTGTTATTGATATTGTTGAAAAGGCATAGGTCTTTCAGACAAACAATCATGGGTAATATGTCTTATTTGGTCATACTTGAAACAAGTTCTTGTATCTTTTTGTGGTGTGTATACTAGTGGTAATCTAAATATATCAGGCTTGTAATATGGCTTGCTCTTTCTTTCCACTTTGGTGAAAATATCTTCTATTTGAGCAGCAAACTTTAGATGCATCTTTTCAAATTTTTGAACAAGATTATCCATGAAATCTTGAGGAGTTTCTTTATTTTTGAATCCAAAAGTCTTTTCTGGTTTGACTACTCGAATAGGTTGTTCATAGTTAATAAGGTATTATCCGTTTTCATATTGTTGAGCAAATTGTAATATTGCAGCAACATCTGCAGGTGCATTTATAGCTACAAGAGAAACAACTTTAGGTCTTAGTCCTCTAAGAATATGGCGAAGTTTCTGGAAGACCAGTCCATGAGTCTAATTTGTTTATGAATTCTGTTATGTTTTCTTTGGAGATTCTTTCGATGCTAAATTTAAAAGTGGACTTGATTTTTCTAAACTTGAAATAATTAAGTTTAATTGAAACTGTACGGTGGTCTGTAGGAATTAGGTTGCAGTCTTCCACTTCATACCAGATAACTTTGGAGGCAATGTTTCTGGAGGCCTATATTTGGTTAATACGAGAGGCACTGGTGGCAGTAATATATGTAAATGTCTTGTCATTAAATTATTGGCTGATATCTACATATTTGTTAAGATATTTGTAAATGAGTTATTTAGCTAGTGAGATTAAAGCATTGATGGATGGACTGTTTTAGAGGTATAAGTTAAAATCACACATTATTATGTAGTGAAGTTTGTGATAAATGGCAAGTTTGGTTGCTTGATAGATTTATTTGGTAGCTGTTTTTCTTTCTTTTCTATTATGGGGAAAATATATAGCTAAGAACAGAATGTTTGTTTTTTCTTTGAATTTCATAATAATAGATTAGCAATATTTTGAAGTATTGCAAATATTGAATATGTGAGGGGTCAGGTTCTTTCCAATAAATTAATAAAGTGCTATTCTTTACCATGTTAATAGATTCTTCATAAATTAGACATTTATTATTAATGTTTTTAAAATAAAAGTTTTTTTTTTTTAAGTTTGGTTTTTGTACAAAAAGTGATTGATCTACTGCTTGTAACATTTGCGAGAATTCTTAATTTGGCAGAATTGTTGAGGCCCATTGTGTTGATAGTGATAAGTGTGATAAGATTTTTTGTACTATTTGTATTTGAGGCAAGTTCTAATTGAGTAGAGAGGTTGGTAGTGAAATGTTGGTTTGTATTGAGATGTACAGTATGGTAAATAAGTTAAGATGTGAAGATATAGGAGAAGTATAGGTATAGGAGAAATTAATAACAGAATTGTTATCTATAGACATGGATAATTTAACACAAAAAGAAAATAAGAGTGAACTCCAGTTTTGGGAATATCTCTTTAATGATTAGGGATTTGAGAAGTTTGTTAAAGAGAAAGATCTTGTATAGTTCCATTATGTTAACTTAGAGAAGATTAACATCATGCAAGAGAATATTGATTAAGAAAATGTCTCTTTCTTTTAGGATTTGATTGATGATTGCAGGATCTTCTGATAATGGTAATAGAGAAGCCTGGAACTATTCATCAGAAATCTTCTGAAATTCATATGCATTGTGAAGTTTTTTGATTAAGTGTTTTAATTCATTATCTCTTGGAATAAATTGGTCAAGATTAAATGATGAGTCTACTTCTTGAATGTTTACTTGTAGTTTGGATTTATCTGTTTGAAAGATTGATGGCAAAACCCATTGGGGGCCTAAGGGAAATAAGAAAAAGAATTTTCTTTTAAGGTGACTGATTAGTGAGTAGGTATTGTGTTTGTTAGTTGTGGAAATTTGTATATTTAGTGATGAGAGGATGTCTTTAATTGAGTGAAGATTGTATAGTAGTGAATTTTTTTATTTAAAAAAATAGGGTGGAAGACACTTGAAGTAATTTTGATTCTGAGGCTGTACTACTAAACTTATGTCATTAACTGTGATGTCTAGTGTGAAGTACTGTTTAAATTCAAGATCCAATTGATCAAGGTTGAGTAGTAGTAAAGTTTTGGGAGGGAAAAGGTCAAAGTAGAATTGTGGAATCTTGGGTGAAACTGTGAAAAACCTTTTGACCTCTTTTATTTTGAAGCCCAGATTTTTGAAATCACTTCTTTTTCTAATTGAAAAGTGATAAAAAAGATCTTTTGGAAGGTCTTTAGGATTATTGGATAGAGGAGATATATGAAGAAGTAAGTTTCTAGAAGAAGAGAGAATTTGAAGTAAGAGTGTAGAGATCTGATTACTTTTGCTGTGGTATTTCTGTCAATAATAGGAATTCTAAATGAAACTTTGGCTTTGATTTGAGAGGAAACTTCCTCTGAAATTAAGGAAAGATTTGAAAGAAGCTCTGTAAATATTTCTTTGCATTTTTGTTAGATGGAGAAGTAATCTAGCTTTTTGCTATCTTTAGGACAGTAGAAGAGATTACATCCATATTCCAAGATTTGAGAAAGCAATTTGAATTCCAAATCACTAATTTTGATATAGCATAAATATGTAATAAAGATGCTTGCATTTAGAAGAAGTCTGATTTTGTATTTGATCTCACAATTAAATTGAGAGATGTTGTTTTTCTTTTTGTAGTTTGATTGGAAGCTGAATTCTAAAGCTTCATATTTCTTTTAATGAACACTCTTAGGATCTTCAAGCTTATTGAAATAAAAAAGCTTCTGTCTCTGGTTTCTATTTTGATGAAAATTTTTTAGATGGGGTTTTTGCCTGACTGGTCCTTTGGATATGTTGGCTATATCAAGAATTAGTTTGGTTAGTTCCTTAGGATTGCTTCTGATAGAGAAGAACTTGAAGACCCAGCAAATGATTGCATTGCAAAGTTTGATAAGATAGAGCTGTCAGTTTTATCTAAATTCATATTTGGGATATCATACTTTTCAATATCTGTGGACAGAAGCAGTTGATCTTCTTTATATCTAAATAGTCTGGCTCTTGCCATCTCTAATCTCTCTTTACATAGTGCTTCTTTATTATACTTATTTTTGATTGTAAAATTTTTAGTGGTATTTGATTGTTTAACTGTTGCTAATAAGATTGGAGATATGGGTCTTGAAGTGAAGTTTGTACTGAAGCAAGAAGTAGTAGAGACTATAATGTTGAAGGAGTTGGCTGGATCCTCTAACTGATTTAGTCAGAAATACTTTCTTTTTCTTGATACTGATATGTGCTGTCAGTATTGTTCACTTTTATATTATCTGATATGGAAAAGTTTAGATTGATAGTTGATATAGTTCAGTTGCTAGAAATTTCTATTGATGGGATTTGGTAGGCAGCTATTGGTTGGTCTTTATTAGTATAGATGACCAATGGAAAGGGTTTATCTACAGGCATACTGAGATTTGATTGGCTGCTGGAAGTTTTTTGAATTGGTTTGATCATGTTCTGTTAATCAGAATTCTTGATTTGTAATTCTGTGATTAAGTTTTTTGTTGTGAAATTTTCTGATAAAGTGGTTATGGATGTGGGTGAGAGATGTGTAAATTAAAAATTGGAATAGTGAGTATCTTTAAGGGTATAGATTTTTTTGCCTTCTGAAGTGTTTCTATTAATTTATATTCTGTTTTATGGAATATGTTTGAAATAGTTCTATCCTTTTTTAAGGACCATTTAGAAGATAGAATTTTTAAAGCCATCATCCTTCTTAAAGATTGATTGGAATGAGTTCTGGTGTTCCATAAATTCATCAAGATGCCTGGATAGTTTTTCTTTGTAAACTGATGCCCAAGTGGATGTTGTTAGGCCAGAAAACAGCGAGTCAGTCGCTTCACCGGTCCAAAGTTCGTGTTACTAAAGGTAAGTTGAAGCGTGTATGATTGATTTAGCCAGGCAGTACTAATTAACTTCTCTTCTTTTCTTTCCCGGCACTCGTTTCCTTCCTGATACCCCGGGCTATGTTTTTCTAGCAGCAATTATCCTTCCTAAAATGGTGCATACTCAAAAAGGCAAGTTATTAATTATTACTTTCTTTTTATGGCAACTCAGAGTAACTATCGTTTCTCTTTTAATCCCTTTTTTATTAATTTACTTTGTGCGTGTTCCTGTCTCTCTCTTTTTTCTACACTGCTGCTATTTATTTACCTATCCGCTTATTAATTATTAATCCCACAGCTATACTATTAATGCATAAATTGATGATGCTAAACTATTAGGGCTAAAATAAACTATGGGTAAGTTACATAAGTCTCTATAACTACATTTTGCTATATTAATTATTAATGCTATCCTAAATTTCCAGGGTACATGACTATACCATGTGATTTTTACCAGGCTAACAATGTCTTGACTAAGAAATAATTCAATTTGAATAACAGAGAGATTTTCTGTTTTTTTAATTAGATTGAATATAGGTATGAGCCATCTGAATAAATGATTTAATAAGTATGAAATGGTGGGGGTGTTGGAAGGATTAGTAATAATAATTTTGCCTTGAAGATCTTGATATATGATTGATACTCACTGCTTGCTTCTCTCTATTAAAACTATATCCAAAAGTATAAAGGGTATCATATATGATGTATTATTGGATTTTGAAACCATTGATGTTGTTGGTGTGGCATGTTAAGTAATTTGGATAGCTAACAGAAGAGATGTTGCAATAAGAAGCTTGAATGTAACATGATTGTATTTGTTTCTTGTTGTAATATTTGATTTGTCACATGTTATTACATGTTGTTTGTAGATGTGATATTTGGTGAAATTTGATTAATAAAGTGTTATGGTATAGATGTGTTCTGATATAGATATATTTGTTGTTATGTGTGTTGATACAAACTGTTGCTAGGATATTTTAATGTAGATGCATCTTATAGATGTGTCTTGTTAATGTATTTTGTTGTTTTATGATTGGGTTTGATGTATACAGATCTTGTTTACTTGATATGTGTTAAACTTGTTTACTTGTTATTGTTAAGATTAACTTTTCTAAAAGACATGTTCACAATACATTGATTTTGGAAAGAGCAAACTGATTCTGGTTTTATGAACTGATGTATATACAATAAGATTTTTTTCTTATCTCTGTAAAAATAATAGGAAGTCTGGCATTCTTTTAGCTCAAGGAAGGTGGCAAGGTTGTTTGATTTATTAGATGAAATCTGGCCTTTCTTAAGTTTCTACAGTGTTTAAAAAAGGTGTTTAACCTGGCACATGACTGGCTGTAGTGGTGGCAGGAATGATGGCTTTCTGAAATCTTACTGTGAATTAGAAAGCTTGGTTTTTATTTTCCTCTTTTATAAGAAGAAGATAAACTGAAGTTGCTTGCTTTATAATCTATAAATTGATGAGTTAATACTAATTAGTATATTCTTAGTTTGTTATACTTGACAGTGATATTGTTTTTTG